AATGAATTTGCTACATAATTATGTGGGTGAGGAACTGAATGTATGCATGTGTTATGACTTAGGCAAACGATGAAAGATGCAGTTCAGTACGACTATTAAGAAAGCATGGAGATTGCAGAGTTGATTCACTTAGATGTTCATAGGTTGTCGCGCCTTCCTTCGGAGATGGCACTTGACATTGGCTCATTTTTAGAAGTTTTTGAAGTTACGTGATGTTGATACCTAAATTTCGGCGACCCCATTTAAACATTCATTGCATAAAATATTATGGTTTAAACCCCATTTGGTCATTTAATGTATAAAAAATATTATTTATTTGCATTTGCATATTAAGAGCATTCAATTGCATTAGGGAAAAATATATTGCATTTTAATTGCATCTGTGATAAATTGACTTAAGTAGGGAGAACCTAAGCTTAATCAAATTATATGGACTAAGTCCTCATGAGCATTAAATTCAATCCACCCATTGAATACCCCTTATAGAAGAAATTGCATATGCTTAGCATATGAGCTTGCCAAATAGGAAAGATTGCATTATCTAATTAAATTTGGAGGAAATAAAGATATCATCTTTGAGGATTTTAATTATATGGAGATAATTTGATGAAGGAGTCAATATATTTCTTTGGTCGAAAATCGGAAAGTGATGCATTGATTGGTTTATTGAGATAACTCTAACCCTATGCCTATATAAGCATTCTTTTCTCTCAAAATTGAAGGGGAGACGATACAGATTAGGGGGCACAAATACACAAACGACACGATAGAGGGAAGTTCAAAAATAATTCAAAAAAAAAAAAGGCAAGATCTCTTCATCGGCAGCAAAAAAAAATTCCAACATGCAATTTTCACGACAAGTGCACATTCGTTGAATTGTGCTCAAATTTTATGGAGACTGCGGTAAGACATTGTTTTTTGAGTTTGTTCGGTGGGTTGATGAGAAAATATCTGGAAGTATGTCTTGACGGAAAAAACTGAACGGATCAGACCATTGGATCAAGACAAGAGAGCTCAATGCACGGTCTTGGGGAAAAGTGCCAAAAAAGTCCTAAACCTTTTGCATTAATGTCAATTTAGTTCTAAACCTTTTTTTTATGCCAATTCAGTCCTAAACCTTTTGCATTGGTGCCAATTTAGTCCTAAACCTTATTTTGGTGCCAATTCAGTCCTAAACCTTTTAAATTGGTGCCAATTCAGTCCTAAACCTTTTGTTTTTGTGCCAATTTAGTCCTTCCGGCCAATTTTGACCGAAATTTGCCAATGTGGACGCCTGCCGGCCGGCGGCCGGTCACCGGCGCCGACGTGAACAACTTTAATAATATTTTAATATTTTTTTGAAATTTTATTTTTTTTCCTTTTTTTTTTTTTTCCACTTTTTTTTCTTTTTTTTTTCCACTTTTTTTTTTTGGTCTTCCCTCCTTCCTCTGGCCGGTCGCCGGTTCGGCGATCGGCCAGAGGCCAGAGGCCGGCGAGCTCGACCTCGCTGGCCACTGGCGAGGGCGGCCTCACCCGCCGAGGGCGAGCCTCACCCGACCAAGGCGAGGCTCGAGCCCCGCCCGCGGCGAGCCGCCGACCAGGCGGGCTCGCGGCCTCCGGCGAGGGCTCGAGCCTCACCCTCGCCGGCCTCTGGCCTCTAGCCGGTTGCCGGACCGGCGACCGGCCAGAGGAAGGAGGGAGATAAAAAAAAAGTGAAAAAAAAGAAAAAAAAGGAAAAAATATAAAAATTCAAAAAAATATTAAAATATTATTAATGTTGTCCACGTCGACGCCGATGACCAGCCGCCGGCCGGCAGGCGGCATCCACGTCGGCAAATTCCGGTCAAAATTGACCGGAAGGACTAAATTGGCACAAAAACAAAAGGTTTAGGACTGAATTAACACCAATTTAAAAGGTTTAGGACTGAATTGGCACCAAAAAAAGGTTTAGGACTAAATTGGCACCAATGCAAACGGTTTAGGACTGAATTGGCACCAAAAAAAGGTTTAGGACTAAATTGACACTAATGCAAAAGGTTTAGAACTTTTTTGGCACTTTTCCCCACGGTCTTGCGAAAATGGTAAGTATGTGTTGGGTCTAGGTTAGAATGTGTTGAAATTTTGAGGAGATCTCTATGACACCTAGTTCTTCAATCCCACCAATGTAGTCCTTCAACCACCACCGAGACTCTTACCATCCCGTCTCAACTCATCTCCACCTTCAGTGTACCTTGGTCACAATTGATCTTTACACTACTATTGGGTCTTCACAAACTTGGTTCGAGGCTAACTCGAGACTACCGAAGCCCCTACAACCTTTTTGGGGCTTTGATGACAATAAACCGATCTCAAACCATAGTTGAGCACCAAGGATTACCTTGAACAATGGTCAAGGAGGCACACACTTGAATTTCAAGGTAGCGAGGAGCTACGGTCGAGGGCGAAGGGCCTAGGTGATGGTGCAGAGATAAATGAGAGGGTAGGAAGATAGAGAGATGGAAATGAAAATGTTGCGGAAGCAAACGATCGAACAATAAAATAGACAAAACAAAAAAATAAACCACACACTAGATTTACGTGATTCAGTCGTAGTGACTTACGTCCACGGGGAGAGCAACACGAAATTCTACTACAGATCAAGCGATACAACAAAGATTGCAACCACACTCGAGTCACTCAAACACTCTCAGTGTTTCTCAAGCCCCAATTACACCTAATAACTCACACAATGTTTAGCCCTAATTCCTCACAAAATAATCTCTCAATCTCACGAAAAAATTGTATACAAATTCTTACCACAAGAATTTAATCGACTACAACACACTTGGATATCTTAAGGGTGTAATTCACTAGCAAAAGCTCCTCTTTGATGATCTTCACAAATAACATCCCATTCTTATTTATAGGCAAGAATTGGATCCAAATTAGGAAACCTTCTCCGATTAGGAAACTTTCCTTTTCGGGCTCAAACTTGAGACATATTTTCAACAGAAAATGTGGACTCGTATCTTACATGAGTAAAGGGGAAGATAGGTGCAATGGCCATGGTGGCGTGACAATAAGTGTTGTGGTTGTGGCGTGTGAGGGCCTGGTCCGATGGGGTGTGTCTTTGTTCGTTCAGACCTAGTGTGGGGAGAGAGAAGATAGAAAAAGTGAGGTTTTTCAAAAGGTTTTGCTAGCTTAACAGTTTTTGGACTACTGTGAGAATAACATCATGTTGTAAGCTACAAACTCTTAAAAGAGTGGGCCCCATACTGTTATTCTCACAGTAAATTAAAGACTATCACCTAATCATTTTTCTTTTTTAAATGGGAGAACAAGACCGTGTAATGCGAAGGATACATGTTGTCCTAGGGAGGGCGAAGATAATACACGGTTACAACACAAGGCAGCATTAACCCCAGGAAAATTGCTAAAGAAATCCTAAACATATTGTACAAATGATAACCTAGTCATTAACTTTTCAATTTTACCAATTTAATATGAGACATTTTGACAATTTGCCAATATAGTCATTCCGATCATTTTTTGCAGGAAATAGCTAATGTGGATGTCGACCGTCCTATGTGACATCGTCAGTGCTGACATGCACAATTTTATCATTTTTTAAAATTTTATTTAATAAAAAAGAAAAAAATTCAAAATGTTTTTCAAAACATTGCAAAAATTGTCTAAATCAGCGTTGGCCGCAATGACATAAGATGGCTAGCACCCACCTCAATGATTCTCGGCAAAAACTTTCCCGAAAGACTACATTAGCAAATCGTTAAAAAGTTTATAACTAAATTAGCCAAATTTTAAAAGTTTAAGACTGAATTAGTATCCATACAATAAGTTTAAGATATTTTTTTTATAATTATTCTATAATCCCGCACCCACACCCACCACCCACTAGGGGTGAGCGGTTCCAGGTTCCACTTAGAACCTATTCGTTAAAACGAATTCCTCATTTTTTGGAACCTGGAACCTACCATGCACATCTTAGAACCTGGAACCTACCTTGTCACAGGTTCCAGGGTCGGTTCCAGGATATACTCAGGTTCCACCTCTATTATTAATTGAACGATTACAGTGAATCATCACCTTTAATGATTACCACTTGCTGCTATAATCCACTGATCACAACTTATATTTAGACACATGAAAACTATGAATCATTAATAAAGTAAAAGTCTTTATTATAAAATAGAAGAATAGACTAATGGTTTCAGATTATACACTCATCATCAAACGCCATGGAATATTACAAAATCACACGAAGAAATAGATCAAGAAAAATATAAAAAACTTATTTTAGATTCCAAGTTTGACCTACTTTGAACCCGAAACCTACTCGTCGAAATATATTCCTTAATTTTTGAAACATGGAACCTATTTTGCATACCCTGAAATCTAGAATCGACAGGTTCCCACCAATTCGATTATCAAGTTTCATGTTCTACCTTGGACCATACTCACCCTGCCAACCACCTCATTGTCAGCACCTTTGTTGTCACATAATTGTGCTTTTGGTAAGTATGTTTTTCACCGCGGTATTTCACCCTTTTTATCTGTGTCGAAAATCTTAATTTGTTTTGCATCCATCCAAAACAGATAAAAGGACAAAATAGATGAAATCAATGATAGGAGAGATATGTTTTTATGATTCCATTTATAATATAAGGATAACGGCATGAAGACCCAACCAACTAGATGCCTATAAAACACCCTACAAGTGTAGATGATAATCAATGCATCAACCGACTGCGTTAATCCTAGGAGGTTTAGATGAATAAAGAGCTAGTGAAGGTCATGGTTGGCAAAAAATAAATAAATAAATGGTCGAAAACGATAATTAATGGAAATATCTCACTTTCCATTCGCTGGAAGTTGTCATCTGCTACTCAGGCAAAAAACTTCCGGTGAACATGTTTCGGTGGGCAAATATAAAACAATTAAAAAAGCATATCTGAGAAATGCCTCTTGCTGCAATTTTTATGACCATGTAGTTAACAAAGACTTTGTCACACTTGCTTGCACGTCCTTCAAAAAACAAATACGTAAAAACCAAACTGTCAACGTGAAGGAAGCCCGATACAATTAAAAAGGGCCTTCCTCTTCCTTCATCACCTTCTCTTATTTGTCTCCTTCCTTCATATTCTCTCTCACCAGTACAGACTCTCCAAAGTCCGGCACACCCCCCAGTTTTCACAACGAAACAGCCACCGCGTGTGGCAGTTCCAGCGGCGAAATCAGGTGCTCCTCTCAGCCCCCCACCATGCATGGAGGTTTCAACAGGGGCTCATTCGTGGTCGAGCACGACAATAATGGAAGCTCGCCGGAGAATAGCATCGGAGGGTCGCCGCCGCCGCCATCCAGCAGATTTGGCGATACGATGAAGACTGGCCCTATGGCGCCGTCTCCGAAGAGGAGGTCTGTTGTGGAATAATCTTATATGTTCACATATGAGTTGTGTGGTGATTGGTTACCTGAATTAGTCACTAGGCATTTAGAATGAACAGTTGAGAAGTTGGGGTTTTTGTTTGTTTCAGTAGGAGAGGTATGCAGAAGAGAGTGGTTTCGATTCCGATCAAGAACGTGGAAGGCTCTCGGCTCAAGGGCGAGGGCGCGCCGCCGCCGTCCGATTCGTGGGCGTGGAGGAAGTACGGCCAAAAGCCCATCAAGGGCTCTCCATATCCGAGGTGAATTCTTCATCTTGTCTCATGTCACAGTCATCCACAGTTTCCTGCAAAACTTCTTCTCTGCTTCAATGGCTACAACACAAACAATTCTTTCCTTCACTTACCTCTCTTTAAACGTCATGTCACCGATAATCACGAGATGCGATCGTTAGGTTCTTGATAAAACCGATGAAACCTTGATACAATTGAAGCTCTTTGGTTATATCTGTGAATTTTTTTTGTATACATCAAGTGCTCACACTAAATTGAAGTTGAATATGATCCCCCTTCTTAGTAATCGACGAAACTCAACAATGAACATGAGATTTGAAGCAATTCTTGATTAGTTTAGTCCGACCCATCCAAAGAGTCGACCAATCTCCATTAGATCTATCAATAAAGGTTGAGGAGGATTAATTATTGATCTAATGATCCAAGCACTCAATTATGCAGGGGATATTATAGGTGTAGTAGTTCAAAGGGATGCCCGGCCCGGAAACAGGTGGAGCGAAGCCGCGACGACCCCACCATGCTCGTCATCACCTACTCTTGCGAGCACAACCATCCTTGGCCTGCTGCCAAGAACAACCACCACCACCACAATCACCAGAACTCCTCTGCTGTGACCAGCGCCATCGAAGACAAGCCTGAAATGCTCACCAATCTACCCGACCCAGAAGCCGAGCCCGAGCCCAATCCCGAACCCGAAGAAAAGTTCCCGGACATGAGCGAGGAATCGGCGCTCATGTCCGCCGCAGACGAGTTCAGCTGGTTCATGGACATGCCCACTACATCGTCCACGATCCTAGAGAGCACCATTTTTGCGGAGAGCGGCAACAACAATACCGGCAACGGCGTGTTGGCGAGGGATGCCGACGTGGCCATGTTTTTCCCAATGGGAGAAGAGGACGAGTCGCTGTTCGCCGATCTGGGCGAGCTGCCGGAGTGCTCGGTGGTCTTTAGGCACTGCCGGAGTGGTGGTGTGAGCACACAAGTTCAGATCTGCTGACCCTTCTTTATTCTTAATTAATTTTAATCCCACTTGTATTTGTATTTTTCCACACTTTCTTCTTTTTTTTTCTAATTTTTTTCCCTTCTTGGTTTATTTATTGCTTATGGATAAAAGAGAAAAAGAAAAAGAAGAGGAGTTGTTCAATTCAACTGTGGACGGACGTGTCGTGCGCCGTAAGGAGTAGAAATCTTGGAAATTTCTTTCTTTCTTTTTTTCTAGAAGCTCCAATTTTTCTTTTTTTCTTTAATTATGCCTTTTTTTGGGGCCTTGATTTCAGTGTAATTAAATAACGAATAACGTCACATTCGGGTTATGTCACGATGTTCTTGTAATTAGAGCATCATCTGCCGTCCATCCGCTCGAGGGGTTCGCAATCAAACATGTCAGAGATTAGATATTTGATTGGAACCCGCCAACTAAACTTGTAATCTAATTTTTAAGTCAGTCGTTTGAACAATATAATTAGTTAATTGGGTGTCCGGATAAGCCCACAAAATCAGACCAAGCAAAAAAGATTGTTTTAGTTTACATCGCAATCTTTGAGTTTTTATTTATAAGGATTGTGCTCGATTCAAGTGCATATCGAAACCCAAAACCTCTCGAATTCAATTTCTTACATCGATTTTACCTATCTAAGGATTTCTAGCTTCTTATGCATTGAATTCGAAACAATCCTTCACCGGTAGGCCATAGCGTATCGGGTTCTCGCATCTCGGCCTAGTCATCTTACCAACTTTCGTGCAAGTGGAGTATTTAGCGTCGTAATATAGTCGTAAACATTGTCTAGCAACATCCTCTTTTGTTGAGATGTTTAGGCTTGTGATGTAATTGAGGCACACATTAATGTTGATTGAAATTCGAATAAACCAACATGGTTGCGATTTTTCAAATACTATGCTCTTGGACTTAGACTTTCGTATAGATTCAGGGTTGCTAAGATATTCTTTTGGTGTTGCTCCTTAGTGAAAGAGTCAATTTGGGACAAAATAGGTTTTCATGATTATTAAATGTTTTGTTATAATATCCTTATTTTGTAAATCTTTCTAAAATTCTTGCAAATAATGAAGGTAAAAAACCATTTGAGTCCAAGTGTACAATTTCGAGCATAATCCCTGATTGACCATTTGTTTTGTGAATCAAGCTTGACCTTTACATGTTTAATTACTATATTTTCTATGAAGCCCTCGAGTAAATGAGAATCTTTCCCATTTGGAACTTGTATATTTCGTCGTATTTTACTCCTTCAAAATCATGAAACTTCTTTGAATCTATTCATTCAAGTTTCTGAATAAGGGGAAGAATGTATTTGTTTTTATGAAAAGTCTGACAATACTTCTATGGCAGCATATGAATCGATCGACTAATATGGAATGAGTTTGATTTTTAATACCACTTTATTAAGTCTGTTAGCTCAAATTATTTACTATTTTTTTTAAGTTACAAACTATATTTTGTACAATTCCCTAAAGAGCATGTGTGTTGGATTTGTATTGTTTAAAATGACAAATTTCTAAATAGGAACTTAGATTGTGATAAAGTTCTCAATTTTGATGGCCCAATACTTTTCCCATAATATTCCCATAAAGCAAGAATACTTATCTTTCGAATTTAATGTCACTATAATATTCAACTTTTCCTCGAGAACCTACATTTGTTATATGTTTAATGGGTTCAGTTTGCCGACTTATATGTTTTTTGAAATGTATTAATTGTTTGATATTGCAAAAGTTAGTATTTAAAGATTTTCTAAGAGAATTCATACGTAATTGGGGTTGTCAATTTGCTGTAACGATAAAGTGTCTTGAAATGACAATTTTGACATTTATATGCATGGAAAGCCCTAATACTGTATGTAGGAAAATCAATTATCAAATACCCATATATAGAATCTAAAATACCCAAGTTTGAATCGAAATTACATAACTAGTTAAGCCAGTCACCATCTTTGAATTGATCGATACGAACGAAGTCGTACAAATTGGGGACCGAAGAAGCGTCGCCTCCTTTTCTCTTCCCTTCTTCCAGATTTTTCTCCTTCTAGTAGTCGCCACCTCCAGATTTTTCTTAAGAAAAATCAGCCCAACTTGCTAAAAATTAAGTAGATTCCTCTAACTTGCCAACTTGCCTGAATGAGGGGACTCCATCAACTTAGGAGTAGTATAAAGAGGCAGCTCCTGCTTGCCAATTGTGTGTGTGGAGAAACGTAGAGAGAAGATAGTGAAGTAGAGAAAATATATGAGAGCATTACATGAGAGTGAGCCCCCAATGTTAAAAAGAGTGAGGTGAGTGTGGGAGTGGCATGGAACTTGTGGGTGAGTGAGTGAGTATAAAATAAGAGTGTATTTGTATTTGTACTAAATATTTCATAAATAGAGAAGGTATTTTTCAATTGTTATTTGAGGAATGGCATGTACAGGCTCCCTCAACAAGTGGTATCAGAGTAGGCGGTCAAGGACCATGAACCCAGCTATTGGGCATTGTTGTACGCAAAGACAGTGGTTCGAGACCATTGTATGGGAGCAGGCACTTAGGGACAAGACTACGCCAGAGTTTCGTCAGTGCACATTTAGGGACTATAATTGATTGGTTTAGGACCAAGCTTACTTGATATATTGCAAGTAGTACAACCAAGTCACGATGGCGGATATTTTAACAGCGTCCAAAAACTCAACAACTCCAATTGTAATAATTGGAGTACGTGCCTGAATTTTTATTTGCTTGGTCAAGATTTGCGGGATATTGTTGGCGGTTGCGACACCTCACCCCCCACAGATGATGGGGAGTTGAGGAAGTGGAAGATAAAAGCTTATTAGGCTCTCTATGTTCTTGGCGTTATTGTAGAAGATGATTTGTTACAACACACCAAGAGGGCAAAGACCCTAAAGGGGGAGTGGGATAACTTGGGGGTATTGTTTGCAAGGACAAACAATGCGAAGCTACAGTGGCTAGAGAACGAGCTACAGCCGGTGTCAAAACAAGTCATGATGATGAGTCAATATTTCTCCAAAGTTAAATCCCTCCGAAGATATTTCAAAATTAGATCTTCAAAATGCCATCTTTGAGACTAGAATGAGAAGAATTATCATTCACAAGTTACATGTATCTCCTGTTGCACCAATTGCTGTCAAGCTTGATGGCAAAAATTATGGCGTGTGGTCCTAGGTTGTTGAGATGTATGTCTCGGGCAAAGACAAACTGGGCTATTTGAATAGTGATTCTCCTGAGCCCCCTCCTACTGATCCGTTTTTTAGACAATGGAAGACTGATGATTCTACGGTGAAAGGTTGGCTTATCAATTCTATAGACCCAGCCTTGATACCAAACTTTATTCGGTTTCCTACTGCCAGAGCCATATGGGATGCTGTGGCAACGACCTTTTTTTATGGATCTGACACCTCCCAAATCTATGATATTAAGAGGCAGGTTTCTCAATTGAAGCAAGGCGGTGGACCCATCGAGAAATATTACAATGATCTTCAAGGGCTCTGGCATGAGATTGATTTCCGCCGTCCTAATCCTATGCAATGTCCGACCGATATTCTGAGGTACAATGCCATTGTCCATGAAGATCGAGTTTATACTTTTTTGGATGGTCTTGATGACCGCCTGGATAATGTTCGTGCTGATGTTATGAAGATGGATCCATTTCCCACTATTGAGCAAGCTTATGCTCGAGTCAGGCGAGAGGATATGCGCCAATCTATCATGCTCTCTACTCCTGTCGAGGTCACCTCTGGTTCTGCCATGGTGTCACAGCGGGGCAAGGGTGATCAGTTAGTGCTCTCTGCCCGGGGACCTCGCCCTAAACCTGGTATGCCAATTCAATCCGAGGGATGCTCTCACTGTGGGAATCCTAAACATATAGCAGCATCTTGTTTTAAACTGCATGGTTATCCGAACTGGTGGGATGATTTTCAGACCAAGAAAAAGAAACCAGGCTCCCAAAAGGGGCGGAATGGAGGGCAAGCCTCCTTAGTGACTAACGGCTTGTCATTAATTCCCATGGAGCCTGAATCTGCTGATGCCGAATCTCTTGAAGGTAATTGTGGGTTTGTCTTTGCTAATGGACATGGTGATGGTCATCATAGATGGATAATTGATTCTGGCGCTACAGATCATATGACTCCGGAATCTGGTGACCTTCTTACATCTACTACACCATGTCGAGATCATATTTACAATGTTAATGGACATAGCTTTCCTGTGACGGCTGCTAGGCATGTGTCTGTCACGCCTTCTCTCTCTCTATCTCATACCTTGCTTGTTCCTTCATTGTCTAATCGTCTGTTATCAGTTGGACAGCTTACTAGTGAGTTGAACTGTGTTGTGCTTATGTACCCTGATTTTTGCCTGTTTCAGGACATTCTCACGAAGGAGATAATTGGGCGTGATACTAAGAGGGAGGGGCTGTATTTCATGGATGAAATTACTTATGGATGGACCTATCATTCTCGTGGACAGTTAGCTCAAGAGAAGGAACTTTGGTTATGGCACCGTCGGCTAGGTCACCCATCCTTTGGGTATTTACGGCATTTGTTTCCCAAGTTATTTCATGGCCTATCGAACTCTAGTTTTCAGTGTGATACATGTATTTTGGCAAAGAGCCATCACACTTGTTTTCCTCCCAGTTTGAATATAAGTTCTACTCCTTTTTCCTTAATTCATTCTGATGTATGGGGTGCGTCTCCTATTACTACTGTATCTGGGTTTCAATGGTTTATCATCTTTGTTGATGATTGCACACGTATGACTTGGCTATATTTGATGAAACATAAGAATGAGGCTGAAACTATATTTCAGACTTTCCACCGTATGATTCAGACTCAGTTTGGGGCCAAACTTCAGGTTCTTAGGTCTGATAATGGTGGCGAATACTTAAGTAAACCTCTTGCAGCTTATTTTCAATAACATGGTTTGATACATGAAACTTCTTGCCCTCAAACTCCTCAGCAGAATGGTGTTGTTGAGCGCAAGAATCGCCATCTTCTTGAAACCACTCGAGCACTCTTGGAGGGTAGCTATGTTCCCCATCGTTTTTGGGATTCTGCCGTAGTCACAGCTGCTTATTTGTTGAATCACATGCCTTCCCGCATTCTGAGCTATCGCACGCCAATGCAAGCACTTGCTGCCCATGTGTCTCTTCCTTCGGTTCTTACATTGCCTCCTAAGGTGTTTGGGTGTGTCGCTTATGTCCATCTTCACAAAAATCAACGGACCAAATTTGACCCTTGTGCAGTCAAATGGGTGTTTCTTGGTTATGGCCCTTCTCAGAAAGGGTATCGGTGTTATGATCTTGCCGGGAAGCACACGTATGTCACCATGGATGTAACATTTATCGAGACGGAGGCTTATTTTCCTTCCCCCCAGTGTCCTGTTCAGGGGGAGACTAGTTGTAGAATCAGACATTGGTGGGAGGTAGGAATGGCAGGAGCGATGGATGGGTGCGCACGGCCACGTGATTCTGAGGCTGAAGAATTTGAGCTACTGCCGCATGATTCTGAGGCTGCACGACCAGATAACACTGAATTACGGCATAGGTCCGAACAGGTGTCAACAGATGCATAGCTGCAACAGCTGCAACAGGCCTCCTTGTCTTCGCCCTCTTCGCCCTCTTTAGTACCACTCCAAGCTCCTGAGAATGTACTTGAGGTAAGTACTTCTACTGTACTTGATTCTTTTGAAGATACTGATGTGCTTACTGGTTATAAGCTACCCGATAGGCATAATAGGGGTAAACCACCGAATCGATATTCTCCAGATGTAGAGGATTGCCGATCTCGATACCCTATTGCAGACTATGTGTCTGCCAAGAGGCTGTCCACACCACTACAAGCCTTCGTGTTTACGATTTCCTCAGTTCAAGTTCCAAACAGGGTTGAAGAAGCCATGAAGGATCCGAAATGGCTTCAAGCGATGGAGGCAGAGATGGAGACGTTGGAGAAAAATCGAACTTGGAAACTTGTGGAACTACCAAAGGATAAAAAGCCTGTTGGATGTAGGTGGGTGTTCACAGTCAAACATAAGGCAGACGGCACTATTGAGAGGTATAAGGCGTGACTGGTAGCTAAAGGGTATACACAGATTTATGGGATGGATTATCAGGAAACATTCTCTCCAGTTGCAAAGTTACACACTATAAGAGTGTTGTTATCTCTGGCTACAAACTTGGACTGGCCTTTGTATCAATTTGATGTGAAGAATGCATTTCTTCATGGAGATTTAGAGGAGGAGATCTATATGGAGCTTCCACCTGTATACAGATGTGCAGATAAGCCGAACATGGTCTGTAAGCTGGAAAGATCATTGTATGGGTTGAAGCAGTTCCCAAGTGCATGGTTTGGTCGCTTTAGCTCAGCTATGAAAGGGTATGGATACTCCAAAAGTAACTCAGATCATACTTTGTTCTTAAAAGGTGCTCAAGGAAGAATGACAGCTCTTATCATATATGTAGACGACATGATTATTACAGGCAATGATAGTGCAGAGATTATGAGACTGCAGGAATTATTATCTAGGGAGTTTGAGATGAAGAACTTGGGAGGTCTGAAATATTTCCTGGGAATCGAGGTTGCTAGGTTGAAGGAAGGGATTTACTTGTCTCAGCGGAAGTATGTTCTTGATCTTTTGACCGAAGTTGGCATGCTAGATTGCAAGCCTGCAGACACTCCTATGGTACAAAACTGTAAGCTTGGAGAGTACCCTGATCAGATGCCTACTAATAAAGAGAAATACCAAAGGTTAGTAGGTCGATTGATTTACTTATCACATACACGTCCTGATATTGCTCATGCAGTAAGTGTGGTGAGTTAGTTCATGCATGCACCTAGTGAGGATCATATGAGTCTTTGTGTGGCGCATCATTCGATATTTGAAGTCGGCCCCAGGAAAGGGTTGCTATTTGCAAAGAATGGCCACCTTGAAATAGAAGGTTACACAGATGCAGATTGGGCTGGAAGTGTGACAGACAGGAGGTCTACATCAGTGTACCTTACATTTGTGGGAGGCAACCTTGTTACATGGAGAAGTAAGAAACAAAAGGTTGTAGCTCGGTCTAGTGCAGAAGCTGAATTCAGAGGTGTAGCAAAGGGGTTATGCGAACTTCTACGGCTTCGGAAGCTGCTAACTAAGCTTGGGTATCCACCAGGTTTGGAAATCAAATTGTTTTGTGATAATAAAGCAGCCATAAACATTGCTCATAATCCAGTTCAGCATGATAGAACCAAACATGTGCAGATTGATAGACATTTCATCAAAGAGAATTTGGAGGCAAAAGTGATCCAGTTACCATTTGTCAAGTCTGAAGACCAGTTAGCTGATATATTGACAAAGGCTCTGTCAAGTAGAGAATTTCATTGCTCACTTATCAAGTTAGGTATCAAAGACATCTTTGCACCTACTTGAGGGGGAGTGTGGTCGTGAGCTATTTTAGCCTATTTGTTAGGCATTTTTATAGATTTCTTCCTAGTATAGAATCATTCCTATTGTATATCTCCTAATTAGGGTTGTCATATGTCCTATATATATAACAGGATTGAGCATTGTAAATGTACAAAAAAAAATATTCATTGAATACAGAAAGGAGAGTCTTTTTCTACAAATTTTTCCCCTATACGTCTAAGTTGACTTTATGAAAGAAAAATCTGAGCCATTAAATATAGTCAGAGAATTTTAGGAAAAAATAGAGCAAGAAATAGGCAAAGAGATACGGTGCATTCACACTGATAATGGGGGAGAATACACATCATATGAATTTACAAAATATCTAGAAATGAGTAAAAATACATCGACAATACACTTGTACAAGCACGCCACAACAAAACAGTGTTGTCGAAAGAAAGAATTGGCATTTGGCAGAAATTTGCAGGGGCATGCTGCCTCCAAAGAATGTTCCACCTAGAATTTAGGCAAAATGTAAGAAGACAGCAACGCATGTGATCAACAGATTACCTCAAGCAAGGCTTGGCTTTATGTCACCATATGAAAAGCTATGCAATCACAAGCCCGTGATAAGTCATTTCAAAGTATTTAGATGTTTATGTTATGTAAGCGTGCTTGATTATCTATGTAGCAAGTTCGATAAGAAGGTAGTTTGCCGCATATTTTTTGGGCTACAGTGATCAAGGGAAAGGATAGAAGTGTTGTGATCCTACAACAGGGTGGTGTTACACTTCTAGAAATGTGGTGCTCAACAAAGCCTCATCTTTGTTAGTCATCACAAGCCATTGAACTACAAAATTCAAAACAATTAAAGAAGAAGTTCATGAAAGAATGGAAGAAAATGATGAGCTTAATAAGGATTAGCCCATTGAAGAAGTAAATAAACCCGTTGATGGAAGAGAAGAAGTTGGAGCACAGTAGACCAAAAAATCAAAGAGCCCGTGGAAAATTGGTGTATGTCAGAAGAGCATAAGAGCTTCAACCAAGCCATATAGAAGAACCTGAAGAACGAGCACCTCAGCTCAAGAGATCAACAAGATAGAGGAAACCAAACCCCAAATATGCAAATGCGGCATTGACCGAGGATGTCGGAATATTACATATGGGAGTAGAATGGAGGAAGGCAATGGAAGAAGAGATCCAAGCACCAAAGCGGAATGAGACATAGGATTTGGTACCAAAACCTAAAGAGCTATGTCCAATATCTTTGCAAAGGGGTTTACAAACTTAAAACTTGACCAAATGAGTTGATAGAAAGATATAACGCACGATTCATTACTCAAGGATTATCTCATAAGTATGGCCTAGATTATGAAGAGACCTTTAGCACAATCGCAAAGGTTAAGACCGTTCGAGTCTTACTAGCACTTATAGCAAGCAAGTCATGAAAACTGTGGTGAATGGATGTGAAGAATGCCTTCTTACGTGAAGAGCTAGATCGAGATATAAACACGAAGCAGCTAGATGGTTTCAAGAGTAAGATTCATCGGGATTACGTTTGCAAGTTAAAGAAAGCGATGCATGGCTTAAAACAAGCCGGAGAGCATGGTAAGGGAAGATTGCAGAATTCTTGGTGCAAAGTAGCTCAGTTGTTGTAGCAGACTCACGCTCATTTGTAAAGGTAGAAGATGGAAAGTTTGCAATAGTATTAATATGCGTTGATGATCTAATCATCACTAGAGATGACGAAAAGGAGATATGTCGAATCAAAGCCAATCTCTTAGTACGGTTTCGAATGAAAGAGCTTTGAGAACTAAAACGTTTTCTAGGATTTGCAAGCAGAGCAAGGTAGGATTTATCCCAATGTCAACATAAGTATGCACGAGATCTCCTAGAAAAGTTTGGGATGCTTGATTGCAAGCTTGTATCCACTCCAATGGATGGAAATATAAAGTTGTGTGTAGACGAAGAACGAGAACTAGAACATTCAACCATGTATATGTTGAGGTTGTCCCACAACGGTTGTGGAAGGGACTGGTGGTCAGTTTATAAGTGTGAGAGAAAGTCTTACCCTTTAAGCTAACTTTTGAGGTGAGAGAGGCCTAAAACCATCCGACACTAATATCAGAGCATAGGTTACCGACAAATCTAGACCAAACAGTCACACGAGAGAGTTACAGGTTGTTTACGGCTCTGACCCAAGCCCGATGTGTGAGGGGGAGATTTTTTAGGTTGTCCCATATTAGTTATGAAATGGGCTGGTAGTTAGTTTATAAGTGTGAGAGAAAGCCTCACCCTTGAGCTAGCTTTTGAGGTGAGAGAGGCTCTAAATCACCTAATAATATAGGCAATTAGTAAGTAGTCTTATTTACCTAACCATAACAGGACCTGATATTACCTTTGCAATGGGAGTAGTAAGTCAGGTCGTGGAGAAACCACGAAGTCCTCACTTGGATGCAGTCACACGCATACTAAGGTATGTAAAGGGCTTTTGAATAAGAAATAAGCATCTGTGAGGTAACAGGGCATTGCGATGCTGACTTTGTTGGAGATCATGACACAAGGCGACCAACTACCGATACAAGTTTAGTCTCAGGTTGATATTAGTGTCATGATGCAATAAAAGACAACAAACTATGTCACTGTCTACAACAGAAGCGGAGTATAGCAGCAGCAAGGGCATCTCAAGAGAGTACGTGGCTAGTAATATTAATGGAGGATCTTCATCAACTGATAGACTAGTCAACACGACTATATTGTGACAATCTATCAGCCATAAGTTTTGCGAAAAATCCTATGTTCCATGCAAGGACTAAGCATATAAAAGTACACTATCATTTTTTGCAAGAAAAAGTATTACTGGACGAAATAAAGATGGCGTATGCCTAGACAAATGATCAAGTTGCAAACAAAGGACTTGAAGTTGCAAAGTTTGGAGAGTTTCGAGGGCAACTTGGTATGGTCACAATATCTGTGCTAAGAGAGCAATTTGGTGAGGGGGAGTATTGAAGAGGCACCGCCTCTCTCTCTTCCTTTATGGCAGATTTTTCTTCTTCTCTCTAGATTTTTCTCCTTAGAGCAGCCGCCAACTCCGGATTTTTCTCCTCATAGCAGCCCGACTCCAAAGTTTTCTAAAGGAGACTCCACCGACTTGCCAACTTGCCTAAATGAGGAGACTCCACCGACTTAAGGAGTAGTATAAATAGGCAGCTCTTCCTTGCCAATTATGCGAGTAGAGAAACGTAGAGAATAAACGTAGAGTAGAGAAAATATATGAGAGCATTATAGTAGGGTGGGTCTCCATTTGTCAAAAGAGCGAGGTGTATGTGGGAGTGACATGAGGAGCTTGTGGGTGAGTGAGCGAGTATAAACCAAGTGTGTGTATTTGCATTTGTGCTAAGTATTTTATAAATAGAGAAGGTATTTACCAACTGCTATTTTAAGGAATAGCAAGTAGAGGGTTCCCTCAACAGCGACTTGATCTTCCTCTCTTTCTCCTCCCTCGGACCGTCCCAACAGATAAACCATAGGTGTATAGAATGTGAAAAGAAGGGACCATAGCCTATTCATAATATGTAGTCTAATAAATTCATCTATCATAGATCACTGTTAATATACTAGCCTACATTGATTGTCCAACCATTTAGATATCAAACTGAGATGTGCTAATCCCGATATGA